CTCTGGGCAAAAAAAAAAAAACAAAAAAACAAACTTAAAATTAAAAAAAAAAAAAAAAACAAAAAAACACATATTGGGTGGGGACCAGGAAGTGGCATGGTAGTTGAGGTGTTGGACTCCCACACAGCAGACCACAATTCAAATCCCAGACCTGGTGGCTTGAGGATCACACTGGGCACCTGTACCTGCATGACCAAGATCCCAGGAGAACGGAGAAGAAGACTGTGGCATGACAATCTCTCTCTCTTTCTCTCCAGTGAGCACGTGTATGCTATGGAAAAAACCTATAAACAAAAATAAAAACACGCCAGGTATGTGTGTGCAAGCCCAAAGTCCCAAGGGGAGAATGGAGGAGCTGGAGGAGCACGGACTGCAGTGTGGCCACCTGCCCCGGAGGTGATTTTTTTTTTGGAGAGGTTTTTGCTATAAGGCGCATGTGCTCGCCAGAAAGACAGAGAGAGACAGAACGCACACTCGGGGGGACGGCCATGCCACAACCCCTTCTCCTCCATTCTTCTCTCGGGATCTTGGGTACACATGCACACGTGCCTGGCGTGAGTTTAAGCCACTGGGTCTGGGACTCGAACCACAGTCAACTTCATGGGAGTCCAGCAACACAGCCATTACACCAACTGCTGGTCCCCCCGGGAGGGTGATTTTTACCCTTCTCACTTTCCTCTCTTTATCTCTCTCTGCTGAATGTACATACTCCCTAACAAACGAAAACAACAGAGCAGAGGATTGGAAATTTTTCATCTTTGTCTTATTATTTAAAGGCTTCTTACTATAACATAAAACATTTTACTTTTTCTTTTCAACATTCCTAAAAGGGTAATAAAAAAGTACTAGTTTCCAAACAAGTTAGCACATCGATCACTTGTGCTGCAAGTTCCAAAATTAACTCATGAAAACTTAAATCAATTGGCACATGTTTTCTTCAGTTAAAAAAAAAAATTAAGATTGCAACAGTAATCAAAAGACAAAGCAATGGTTAGAAGTAGTTCATTGGCTCTTACTACAACCATGTTTACTTGCCTTGTTACTTGCTTTGTGCTTTTTTACTTTGTTTTTTACAGCTGCCCTTATTGATTCTAATGATTCTTCATCTTCCAATGGAGAGTTATTTTCTTCCTCCAATCCAGTTTCAAAAAGGTCTTTATCCATAAGAAGACAGCCACTGTCATTAAATGGCTGTTCCACATCCTCCTAGATGACATATTCAGAAAAGGCATAATCAGATCATTTAAAAACACAATACTGGGACCAGCAGATGGCAAAATGGTTATGTTGCTGGACACCCACAGAGTTGACCACAGTTCAAGTCCCAGACCTGGTGGCTTAAACCTGATGCCAAGTGCGTGTGCATGCATGCCCAAAATCCCAAGAGGAGAATGGAGAAGGGACTGCGTGACCCACCCTCCCTGGGGGGTGATTTCTCACTTTCTGTCTCTCTCTGACTCTCAGGCGAGTATATGTACCCTATAGCAAAAATCTCTCATTAAATAAATAATAAAAATAAAAACAATATTTCACAAGTTCTTACAACTTGGACCAGGCCAGAAAGAGCCCATGTTACATTAACCAAGTATATGGCATTCTAAATCATCCTCACTAGTTCCTAATCCAGTTATCCTTCAAAGTCCAAGCTGTGATTTTATGCAACTGTCAAAATTAACTTAATAAACAGTAAATATTTCCTTTGAAAAGCCAGCTGAATACTTAAGAAACTAATTTATGAAACCTGAGGGTGGAGCCAGTGGTGCAGGTAGCAGTGAGCCGCTCTGCAGTGCTGGAATCCACATGGTCAGTAGCAAGTTTGGATCCCCCATGGCCTGACATGCTGGAAGAGCTCACACCCAATATCCTGACTAGCTGGAGCACAAGGAATCCCTGTTGACAAGATCCTGCTGTGAGTGCCTGTTTCTCTCTTCCTGGT